TGGTAACAGCTTATGGCAAGGACCAAATATCAGGGACATTTTGCCATGGACCACATGTCTCGGTGAAGGTTTTGGACAGGAAAAAATGTCTGCTAATCAAGGCAGGAATAAGGAACTATCTCCATGCATATGGGTCCTTTAGAAAACTCGTTCTTTTGGCTGTATTTGGGAATTAATTTGAGTAAAGAACATTAATTTTAGATTAAAAGAGTTGTACAGGATATTATAAATAATTTCATCCAATGCTTGAGTCACATCTCCACCCACCCCACACAGGATAACATTTATTCCCAAAATATTGATTTTTACATCATCCAATTGACTTGACATCATCCCGTTCCTGACTTGAGAGAGTGAAGAGAAAAGGCCTTCCCAGTCTCATTGCTTGAGACATCTTTTCTGCCCGGTTCTGCCAGGACTGGGAAGTTCTCTATCAGACTCAAGGTTGGCCCACTGATGTCAGCTGTACTAGCTTCTTGGCATATTTCCATGGTGCTCGGGCCTCTTTCATTCCATACATTTATTTGTTTTTTTCACCAGCAACCTTGAGAAAGAAGACAATTTATAGACTGATTTAGTTACTCTTTAGTCATGCTGCTTTTCATTGTAGTTTAAATAGGTCTACTGTGGTTATTTTTTATTATTTAAAAAACTTTTAAAATATTTTTATTGATTTCAGAGAGGAAGGGGAGGGAAAGAGAGATAGAAACATCAATTATGAGAGAGAATCATTGATTGGCTGCCTCATGCACACCCCACAATGGGGATTGAGCCCGCAAACCAGGCATGTGCCCTGACCAGGAATCGAACTGTAACCTCCTGGTTTATAGGTCAACACTCAACTACTGAGCCATGCCTGCCAGGCAACTGTGGATATATTTTAATACAACTGCTCCTGACAAAAGTTCTGGCTGGTTTTGGAAAGATGACTAAAATAAAAATGAGGAGCCCCCGTAGTCCTTTTTGACTCTGCCAGGAGCCAGGCTTTGCCTCCAGCGGTGCACTCCCAGCATGGTTACCCCCTGCACAGGCTCAGTGCAATCGGCAGGCAGGGCACAGAGGCTGGAAATGCCTGACTTCTCCATTTAAATAAATCACGTTGAGCAAAACACCAGGTATTTGAGCATATCTGTTGCATCCTCCATGCCCAGTAGTAATTTCACAAAATTATTCGGAATCTATTTCGAGGTAAACTTGGCATTTAAATGAGGTGGTTGTAATTAGCATCTTGACTGCATGAAGTTAACAGTGTGAAAAGCAAGGATAGGGGAAAAAAATTACACTGGCTCATTTTTGCTGTAGAATAAAAAATAAAATGAATAAAAAGGTAGGACAGTGAAAAAAAAACCCACACAATGTGAAGATGGCATGCAATTTCTTGGAATCAAAATGATAAACTTTATCACATATTCAAATCATTATAAACCAAAAAATCTTCTAAAGTCTCTTTACCAGAACATTCACAAAATTTACCTTTCTTCTCCAGAGAGGCCCACAGTGTCCTGCTCTTGAAATTATTCTAACATAAGTGCCAAATGCATTCTCACACACATCCCTCTTTCCATTAAAAAATGTTTTAATGTCAAGTTTTATATTTAATTTTTATATGAACTCACCAATTCAGATTACAGATTAAATTTTACCCATCATTCACACGGAGGTGCAAACCTCACTTCTAGGTTATCTAAGGATGATCTTAGCCCCAATAGGGTGGGGCTCCTGTTGGCCTCTCCTCACCCCCTGGTGATGCCACTGCTCAGAGCTAAGAGAAGTTTTGATATTGACTTTCTTGCAGGAAAAGGTTGTTCCACATGCATTCTGCTTCAAGCTCATGTGTACCATCGTGTTAACTCCTACACACCTCTGGGCGGCACTCAGAAGTGGTGACCCTGTGCAGAGCAGGGCTGAGTCTCTGTCATTTCAGGAACAGTGAAGGCAATGGGAGTGTGAGTGCCGGGGCGCATCCGTCACCACTGATGGGAACAGCTCCTCTATGGAAGCAGGGTTAGAATTAATGTGTACAAGAAAAACAAGAGAAAGACAGGATGCCCTCAATACTGAAAACATAAAATGGTCATGGAATGTGCTGGAAAGAGCACAGGACGTTTATGTACAACACCTGATCCTGAGCCAGGACCCTGCTGCCGCTGCTGTCTTTCCGTGGCCTTTCTTAGCCTCTTTGAGATGTACTTCCTCAGTGCTAAAGGAGGATAGTGATATTTCCTTTTTGACATTGGGAAGAATAACAATAATGAAAGATAAAGCATTTAGCGTGCCTACAACATGGGGAAGGGGTTCAGGGGATTAGCCTAGGACATGCAGCCTGTTCCTGGGAATGTTAAGTGGGAAATCAAAATGACAATAAACCTATACAATTGCTTCCAGCCTCAGGACTTTATGAGAAATGCAAAATATCTATAATTTTCCTCATAGTCCATTAAGGAGTCACATGATTACTGAATTGAGTAAGTTTTCTTGGTGTAGATTTTAGGAAATTGGAGATGGAAATATAAAAATAAATTGAGTAATGTGTGCATTTTAATGTTACCTTCTGAAAATGATTTCTTAACTTATATGAATGAGTATAATCATCAAGCACATAGACACGAATCTGGTCAGTGAAAAAGACAGTGTTGCAAGTGTGTAATTTCTTAAATGAAACACTCATCTCTGAGCAGAAGAAACAGGAGAGACATAAATCTTCACCCACAGTAGAACTTTCCACTTTCCACAGCAGCTGCTCTGACAATGGGCTTCCTCACGTGGTAATAAGCTGCCTACTCCGGGTAAATGCAGGAGTTGGTTCAAGATTAGTTGAGCAATCCCTGGTGGGGATGCTGCAAAGAGCTCCCCCATCCACATCAGGGAATAAGTGGGTATTAAAATTTCCCCTGTACCGTGATTCCATTAAACTGCAGGACTTAAATACAGGGAGTAGTAGAGAGGTGTTTATGACTGATTATATTTAAAACTGAGGGAATCCTCACAGGAGCCTTGATCATGGAGACAGAAAACAGAATAAAATGCTGTTCTCAGGAATGGCTTTGCCTCCTGGGTCATCTCAAACTAATTTCCTCTTCCAGTGAAGAGAAATGGGGTTTAAGGTTTTTACTAGTAAGTCGGGGACCAACGGAAGATGTGCTTTTGTAAGGTTCTGGAGAAATGACATCAAAGGGAACCTACAGAAAAGGAGCCATGGTTTACCCTTTTCACCAGCAAAAAAAGTGGAGGGGAGGTAGCTGCCAGCAACCAGCCCTCAGCCCCAGGCAGGGAGTGTGGATTCCTGGGCGGGGCAAAGGCCTGGACTAAGGATGGGCCTATTCCAGGGCATGTCTCAACAAAAGGATTTGAACTTTCAATATCAAATTAATTAGGAATAAGTATAAATAAGAAGCAAATGGGAAGTAAAAAGTCATAGAAAAGCAAATTAAGAGGTAATTTTAGGAATAATAACAATATGAAAACCTTTTCAATGTAGGATTGTAAGCCAGACCACTTGGGACAGGATGAAACAAGAGAAACTGTTTCCAAGTTGCTCTGTTTTGTGTGTGTGTGTGTGTGTGTGTGTGCATGTGTTTTCCTAAATAAACAGACTAAGGATAACTCATAAGGCATTTGGATAATAAAGAAAAGTAGAAAGAGGACATGTTAGTTATAGCCCTATCACCGGAACAGAGCAACTGTTCATACTTAGGCTAGTTGTTGCACGACTTGTTTTCAAAGTAAGAACTTAGAGTTAAAAATGTTTTAATGTCAAGTTTTATATTTAATTTTTATATGAACTCATCAATTCAGATTGTTAGCGTTGGTAGCTAGAAAAGGAAGGAAGCAAAGGGAATCAGACATTATTGTGCATAAAGGGCTGGGGATCATGAGCCTGTTTGCTTCACCACGAAGCTACAGCTGCACACACATTCCAGGGGATCACAGCATTGCCCCCACCAAGGATTAATAAGCCTCCCATGCCCTCTGTGGCACCAAGGTTGTTTGGGGAGGAGTACAGGGAGCAGGGGGAGGTAGGCAAACACACAATAGAAGCACATGGCACAAGGGAAGGTGCTTGACCACAGAGGCCCATCAGTCTAACCTGGGAAAGGGATCATTGGTGGAGGATGGAACTATCAGAAGCCCAGAAGCCCTGAAAGCTTGGGAAATTGATTGGTTATTTTGAAAAAGCTCCTGGTTCTTCCCAAATCCAAGATAATATAATCCTCAGGGAGCAAAAAAAATGGTTCTCTCTCATCATTGATGTTTCTATCTCTCTCCCTCTCCCTTCCTCTCTGAAATCAGTAAAAATGTATTTTTTTTAAAAATGTCATGGCAATGGCTGAAAAGACCTGGTTGTTTTAACCAGTCAACAAGACACTTGTGATCACAAACAAAGGGTAATAGTAGCAACACCCCCAATTTCCACACCATGTTCAAAGGTGAAATTGATTATTCACTGTACATTACATCTAGATTGGAGACTTGGAATTAGTCTAAAAATGTTTATCTTACTTATAACAATACTAGAGGCTCGGCGCATGAAATTCGTGCATGGGGGGTGGTGGGGGAGTATGTTCCTCAGCCCAGCCTGCACCCTCTCCAATCTGGTACCCCTTGAGGGATGTCCAACTGCCCTTTTAGGCCCAGTGGAGTCGGGCCTAAATGGGCAGTTGGACATCTCTCTCACAATCCAGGACTGCTGGCTCCCCCCTGCTCACCTGCCTGCCTGATTTCCCCTAACTGCTTCTGTCTGTCAGCCTGATCACCCCCTAGCCACTCTCCTGTCAGCCTGATTGACGCCTAGCTGCTCCCCTGCCGGCTTGATTGCCCCCATCTGCCCTCCCCTGCAGGCTTGGTCCCCCCCCCAACTGCCCTCCCTTGCAGACCCGGTCCCTCCCAATTGCCCTCCCCTGCAGGCCTGGTCGCCCCCAACTTCCTCCTCTGCAGGTCTGATCACCAACAACTGCCCTCCCCTGCCGGCCATCTTGTGTCCACATGGGGGTGGCCATCTTGTGTGTTGGAGTGATGGTCAATTTGCATATTACCTCTTTATTATATAGGAGGATAAGCATTATGAGCCATTTACTTTATAACTTGAAATCCATATTGGGTCCTTGGAATGCTTGCCTTTCAATCACATGAAAGAATACAGTTTCCACTGGCAACAATTAATGGTTATTTTAAGCCCTTTAAAAATACAACTGTAATAACTATACATTACTCCTTAACTAGATACACATTAATGTATTTTCCCATCTTCCTGGTGTTGGACAGAGAGGTTTGCTGCCATTATTTTTACCACTGACAAAAACTAGAAAGTGCAATTTTGTTCACAGAGCTATTTTTTATTCCTTAAATTATACTACTAGCAATGTAATTATTGGGTACGAATATAATCCAGGTTTTGATGTATAATGTTATGATCAGTTTTCCACTTGCACTCAGATGAGCAAATCCAGTGTGTGCCTGTTTAGCGATTCTCCAAGGCAAGATTTCGGTCTTTACTATGACCTTCCCTTCAGGAGACATTATGGGAATTAGTTACTAATCTGCCTCCTGAGAAAGAGAACACACAGTACTTTGCAGGAAACTGCTAATTAATCCTCCTGACTCCCTAGTGAGAGTGAGATGCAGGAGCATCACCACTCAAATTCCATAGATTCCAGAGAGATCATTATGATTTCTTCTAAATGTGGCCTCGCTGGCTGCTGAGGTTTCCGAGAAGGTCCCGGGCCTCTGCATCTACAATGCCCAAGGTCTCTCTCTGTGAGCACATCGATGTCCTGGGTTCTAGTCTGGGACTCCACCCTGTGTGTTCTCCAGGCAGAACCTTTTTGTGAATGAGTTCCCCACAATAAAGATAATGATGGAACTTACAGAATCAAGACCATGTTTAAAAGTTATGTCTCACTTCCCTTCAGCTTTTGGCTGTGGGCATTTGATGGTGGGCATCACCAGAGGCCTTCAGCCTGTTCCTTAGCCTCTATGGAAAGAGTGGTTAACAGTTCACACTGATTCCCACCCTGGCTCAGCGTGTCCTACTAGATTTTATCTTCTCAAACGACAGGACAGCTCCATGCAGCCCTGACAGTGTTCCAGGCGTTTGTTTTAGTCTTTGTTTTTGTTTTGCTGTTGTTGATTTTACTTTTGCTTTGGAAATAATGTCAAACATATTGAATAGGTGCAAAAATAAAAACATTTCCAAGTGTCTCCAAGTACTCAGACTCAGTCTCAGTTATAGATAACATTTTACTTCATTTACTTTATAATTTGCAATCCATCAGTCAAACAATATATAAATTTGTGTTCCTCATCCATCAGTGTTCCTTATTTTCCCTACATATTTCAATGTGTGTTTCTTCCCATGTGTTATTAATGTGCATAGTGAAGCATCAAGTTAAAAAACAAAACAAAAAGATGTTCCTTGATGAAAAATGGCTTCTGGGTATATATTATGCACTGACACTTCCGTTTCAGAGAGCTGGAGGGATGGTTTGCCCGCGTTCGTTGAAGAGAACATCCAGAGGTTTTCTTTGTGGCACCTGCCGTTACCTGAACAATACGAGATGCTATACAGCCATGTTCTTCCCTTTACCTGAAGTGCTCCTTTCAAATGCTGGTTCACTTAACATCACACTTTCTTTATTGGAAACACTGATGTTTCAAGGATCAGTTCAAATATCCCATTGCTGTAATTGTGCAATGTTGTCATTTTGGGATTTTGCAGAAATACATTCTCATACTGGAGTTGCTGGGGTGCTACCCGCTCCCGAGAAGGAGCCTGTTCTGTTCTGGGATGGCTCCAGGGCTGAAGAAGCCTCCCTCTGTTGGACACATGCCAGGAGCTCAGATAAAATCAGCTTCTCTTGTGCCGAGGCAGGGTCCACGGTCTGTGTTTTGGTGGATAAAATGGACCTTGTTGGCTGAGCTTACAAGGTGCAATTTCTTCATAAAGGTTAATAGTAGCAGCACCATCGTTTCTCAGTGTCTCCAACCTGTTCCATGCAGATATCACACAGACACGTGGACTAAACATGGTTACCTTAAAAAACAGACTAGGAATGCATAGTCCTACTTACAACAATATGAGCATTATGAGATAAAGCTCGCACTGTCTCTTTCCCTTCCCTTCTCAAACACTTCCCCCCTGAAGCCATAGTGAAGCGGGACAATTCACATGTCTGTGTCAGAACGGTTCCGGCTGGGGCTGCAGTGGACTGGGGTTGGGTTTGGGAGCACAACTGGGAAGAAAGAGTCCATGCACTGAGAAGGGGATTCTGGGTATAGTATGTCCGCGCCGAGGTGGGTCAGGGGGTGTCCATTCATATGCAGGACGGCTTGGTGTGTGGTGTCCAAGTCCAAGCAGAGGGAGGCGATCTGCATGGACAAGGGTGGTAGCAACAGTGAAGATTGATTCAATTGGAAGGTTTGCCAATAGGTAAGTAGTATATTAAGGGTGATGGAGCCTTGTTTCTCATGGTAGGACAAGATAGTTACAAATAAGGGAACAGTAGGATGAACCTTATGGTGTGGGATTGGAATTGGAGCTATTAGTCTGGACCCATGGTTTTCTATATATAGAAACTGATATGGAAATACACTGGAATATAAGTGTGTGTACATGTACATGTGTATGAGGTATGTGTGTGTACATTTTTAGTTCTGTCAACTGAGAGAGCCTAGGAGCAGTGACATTTCAGATTCTGGCTTCCAAAAACATTTCCCTTCAAAAGGAATTAGAGTGTCTGCAGAAATGGTTGATTCTAGGCAGAACTAGAAAATGACAAGAAAAGCCTGAAATTTCATTTTGTATAAGAAAGCAAGGAATTTCTCAAAGAATGAGGAGGATATATTAAAAGGACATACAAACATTATTAAATGGGCTCCCAACTTTGGCCAAATTTAGGACAAATTGAACATTACAGTAAATGATGATATTAATAGATAATAGTTCATTGAGTAAAATAGGAAGTACATACATATTCTGATAGAAATAAATAATTCATGTGAATATTTAATAAGGCACATAGTTTCAGAGTGGTTTTTCACAAAATGTTTTTATGAAAGGAACAAGTAAATCTACATTGGAGAAGCCTATTGTGCATCATTTTAATCACATAATCAATGTGAACATTATTAGGGATGAGACAAGTCAACACCCCATAAGACGCAATCAGAAGCAGCATTGGCCATTATATCTATAATATATAACCTAAGTTTAATCATGAAGGAACATCAGGAAATCTCAAATTGAGAGATGACCCATAAAATAACTGGCCTGTATGTCTTCCAACATGTCAAAGACATGAAAGTCAAGGAAAGATTGGAGAAATGTCCTAACTGAGGAAAACTAGAAATATGATACCTAAGTGCAATGCTTAATTCTGACTGAGATATTTATTATGAAAACTGGTAAAACTTCAATCAAGTCTGAGATTAGATGATGGCAATGGAGCAAGGTTAATTTTCTGATTTTGCTAGTTGTGTTATGGTCATATGCGAAAACTAGAGGCCTGATGCACGAAATTCATGCATGAGTAGGGTCCCTAGGCCTGGCTGGCGATCAGGGCCAATCTGTGGGGCAACCGGTGGGGCGATCAGGGCTCTGCTCACACCCGCCTTGGCCTGGCACCTCCTGCTCACCTGCTCCACCATCCCACCGTGGTCCCTCTCTCATTGGGACCCATCAGGGCCTGCAGCGCCTCCACTGCCACCTGCGGCCAGTGCGGTGTCGCCGACACCTTCCATGTTCCATGCCGCCCCCTGGTGGTCAGTGCACGTTTAACTCCTGTTCAGGTCAAACTCTTGCCAGAGGGGACAATTTGCATGTTAGCCTTTTATTATATAGGACTAGAGGCCCGGTGCACAAAAATTTGTGCACTCGGGGGGGAGGGGGGTCCCCCAGCCCGGCCT